CTCTTTGCATGAGTAGTTTATGCCCTTCTCTACTTTGATTGCTTCTAGAGGCGAAATTTTTATGGGAGATTCAACAAAGTGTGCTAACGTAGGTAGTAGTTTTACCCACGCTCCTATTCAGCCTGTTGTCGAGCAAAGTATAATTTATGGAGCTAAGTCGTAAGTTTCTTTACTAGTTACCTGATGTTTCTTTATAAGTAACTGCGGTAGCTCAAGCAGGTTTCTTCGCATTCAAATTATCAAATATTTATTTGTTGTAAAATGTTCCTTTTTTTAAGTTCTCTTGCACATTTTATTTCATCAAGTGAAAAGCCTTTAATATGCTTGCTAGGGCTGGCATAGCTTGGAAGACGCTCTGATGCTAGAAGTTAGTCAATTTGTATGCACTACTTTTGCCTTTTGCAAAGGAAGTAGACAAGACAGATGGTTGTTTATTTGTAGGGTTTATACCTACCCGGCTAACACGTTCAGAAATAGCTACAAAAAAAGATGTAATCGGCATTCGAGAAATTCACTCAGCAAAGTGGTAAGGTTTTGGTTGGCGGGTTCTACAAGATTTTAGCTGAAACAAACAAATATTTCAATAAATTTCACGATTTTTTGAACAAGCTCTGTGCAAATGAAAAGGAAGTTTTTAGTCGGAAAAGGATTCAGATGAGTCATTTCATTCGGCAGTTTCTTCAAGTAACACCAGTTTTACTGAATATATGGCCTCCTCAATATTACCGACATCATTGTTATTAAATAGTTACTCGCAGTTTCTCCGCTCAGGCTGTTTTAAAACCTTATCTGATACAAGCGTTTCTGCCAAGGAGTTTGTTATGTCAACTCCTACCGGTGCCCTTTCTTTCGAGGAGGTACGTCTTAGTGTATTTGCTTTGCATCAAATTGCTGTGGCTAACACAGTGATCGAATTATTGTTACGATAATATAAAATTAGTACTATTTTAATTTAGGAGATAAATTTTTGAACTTTTTGAGATAAGCAGTGGAATTAATGCATTGAGAACCCCGTGTTTGGAGAGGCGACGTACTGCACAAAGTGTAAAAGCCTCACCAAGCAGTTCATTGAAAATAGAATCTTCTTGGGAACGAGATTCTTTCACATACGGTGTCGATAAATTTGCTTTGTATGTTCAAGGGTCACTAACATCTGATATTCAGGTTCTTGACACTTTCATATTTCTTATGGTTAATGGCTATCGTGAATGAGGTCTTTTTTATTAAGGGATCCATAATGTAAAAATTTTTTCAGTTTTTTATAACCCCTCTCTCACTGGAGGTTATCGAAAGACTTGCTGACCAGTATTTTGAAGCTTCACTAACGACACATCCTGCGCTTATTGTGCAACGTTTGTATGCGTCTTGCTCTTTGTCTCATCATGCTCAACCTCTGAATAGGGCATTAGACTCTAACGATATAGGTAAGAATGCTTGCTGAGGTATGTAAGTGCATTACTTAAGGATTTGTATCGATTTTGAGTCGGAAAGTGTCTAGAACTTTTGACAAACCTTTATTTTCTTTAAAAATATTTTTTATTGACTTAGGATATCACTTTTAAATTTGTGCATTAAAAAAATGCATTTGGCTGTTTTGTGCACTCTTGTCGTCTGAAGCAAAAAAAAAAAAGAAAAATCTATTGGCAATTACTAAAGTATTTTAATAATTGTCAATAGATTTTTCTTTGGAAAACCATTCATCTTTCCATAATTTCTCTTCATAAATAGTTTTTGTGATATGTTTATGTAAATATTTTTTGTGGGTTCGGTATTAAAAAAATAGCTGTTTAGTAAGTGTAGAAATTCGAAGATTTGAAGTTTTTGCAATTTAGCATTTTTCGTTGTCTTCGCTTTTTGCTCAGTGACGCGCCAGTCCTGGTTACCTTCATTTGTTAGCGTTCAAAGGTGGAGAAAGTAATAGTACTATTCTCAATTGTTTAGAAAAGAGGCAGGTTTTTTGTGATATATCCTTCCCCAGTATTCGAGGGATCTCTTTCCAATGTGGATTGTTTGAATCCGTTATTCGTATAAAGCAGCCTTTGGAACCTCGTTGCAGCTTGACTACCCTGAATGTCCATAGTTCACTCGGGCTGTTGTCGACTAGGCAGAGTTTGGTAATCTATTTCATACTAATTCAAAAAGGGAGTTCTTTGATGTGGTTGGTTGTACTGAAGGGTTATTTTTTTTCTTTTTGTGCTGTTGGTAATTTATTAATCAAAAAATTTTTTAAGGAGAATGAAGTAAAGTTTTGTGTGGATCTTGAGCATTTGAATGTGAATGCACAAGTATTTGACCTGGAATTGGCTAGAAGAACTGATCTTTTAACCAGTAACACCTCACCAAGCATTTACTTCTTTGAAGGAAGTGCTTTGGGTCTTAGTGGAAAGCTCGAAAAATGCACCTTGCAAAACATCGTCGGTAATTTCAGTTTTAAAATACATGTCTGAATCTCTTTTAATTGCTTTTTCTTTCCACATCTTTTCTTTTTTAGGATTTCTTCTGCTTTATTGGTGCACGTCACAACATTCAACTGTAAAATTTGTTTTTGTAGATGCTAGCATAAATGACGTTTCGTTGTATTTCAATTCCGGCCCTGGTGCTACTCCTGTGGACTTGAATGCTAGTGCAAACTACACCGAAGTTACTGTGGGCTCCTTAGAGTTCTGTTTCCAACTTTGGCAGTCGCTTGATTCAGCTGATCGGTTAGCTTTTGAGAATACGCGTTTTTCTATGAAGGAGTTAAATATTGTTTTTCAGCTTTCATAGCAGTTATTTTACAAATAAAATGATTTAAACATTTGTAGTTTTCTATTTAAATTTCCACCTTAAGTTTAGTACTTTAGTAACCGGCAGGCTTTAGAATACCTTTCAGTTTTTGAGCGCTTTGTTTATTTCCTGACTGCAGAATTTGTCGTTAATTTGAAAGGATATTTTGCCCCTAAATAGATTGTTAAAAATTTTTTTACACTTTGGTGCTGAAGGAAACTGTTAACAAGATGGGTATTTTTAAGGAAACAACGGCTGTTTTATGAGGTTATAACTGCATTTGGTGCATCGTGGATTTCGTCCATTTGTCGTTTGAAAACTATAGTTGGCTTAGGCCTTACTCGTTCAGACAAACGCGTTGACCTTGAGTTCGCTAAACTGCTAAATACAGTGCTGGACTACGACGATGCACAGGTGTTATTTTTTATTTATCAATAGTACTTGTAAGTTAGGTTAAAGTTTTGTCAGCATACAGTCCTAATTTCTGGAATAATGCCAATTGAGGGAAGAATTATAGGTTAAAGTTTGGGTGAGTGGTGGGCTGGTTAAGAATGATATCCTGTGAAGTCTTCTTATTTTAATCACCTGATTCTTTTACACTGATCTTGCGTCCAGCTTACTGGTTTGTTCTCCTTGTGACAAATTGTTTCATATTCAGGTGTTTCATTGTCAGACAAGTTGCTTTTCAAAGGTAAAATTACGACCAAGTACTCATCATTCGTGCCCCAGCTGTCTACTCGCAATTATCTTATTACAATACTGCATGACTACCGATGTTTCTGGATTCCAAGAAGGGTTATGTATTCCAGACGTTTATTTGCTGGAATCTCAGCGAAAACATGCTGTTGTTGCTCTTTTAAGTCACTGGCAGACTATTATTTGCTCGCAAGTTCAGGTGGTCTCTGCTATCGTAGTTTAAAGTGGCCTGTTTTGCTGCACAAAGGCATTACTTTTTTTTTTTTAAAAAGTTATTTTCAGTTGTTGGACACTAGTGTTGCAAAGCAGTTTGTATCTGAAGTTTGCAATAATCGAAAGGAAGTTAAAATTTCTGTTGAGAATGATAACAACAAGTTAGCTACTTCTAATAATGGCGAGAAAAGTGCAAGATCAACTGTAGAAAGCGAACAAAGTTTGTCCTTTGTATTGCATGTTTATTGGCTGTTATTTTGAGTTACTGAACTCAAACTACTGTAAACCTCCTGGCAGTCAGTAGTTGTATTTACCCAAAAGAGACATTTAAGCATTAGCACGATCGGTAAAACGAGACGATTGAAGATAAGATGAAGTGTCATGCCGCTGAGAATTTAGGGGCTCTGTTTAGTTACCTGCAGTCGTTTCTTGCTGTGAGAGCAAATATGACTAAATTGGGAGAAAAAATTGGACGCATTAAAAGCTTCTTGGCTTTTTTTTTATGGAATTCCGGCATTACGTTTTGTATTGCTGCATTAGTCCTTGAAGAAACTTCCCTTAGGCCAAGTTGCATTGGGCGTGATTTTTAATGGATCTGGGCTGTTGTTGAAGCGTCTAAAATCAAGTTCCTGTAGTTGCTTTGTTTGCAGAAGCTCGTTTTATATCGGTGTTCTTTTCTTTCATGGATGTACATTTTTGGTTCAATTTTCTTATTTACCCTACTAAAAATTAGCTGTTTTAGGTAAGGAGAGAGAAAGAGAGTATTTTTAAAAAGCATTTTTTCCGATTTATTCTTGTTTTAACGGTTTGAATGTTAGCGCGCTTGACGAAGGTTGTAATCAGGTCTTCAACAAGAAATTCTGGACAAAATCGCATAAATTTGGGATTGGTCGAGGGCAGCTAATCAGAAACTCAAGTGGGAAACAAAATAAGCCTTGTTAAATGAAATAAATTCCTTTGAAGTAGGGAATTAAGCAAACAAAGAACAAAGAGAATAGCTTTTAAATTAACAAAAGGCGAGCACGAAGGCTTAAAAATAACAACTGGTGCCTGTCACAAAAAAAAGTTGAAATATTCTTGCGATTTTTGCCTTCTTTGATCCGGTCGTCATGCCATCACGCTCTGTGGAAAGAGAATCATTTCCGTGTTCTTCCTTTCACTCTGTAAGGCGGGCGTTGGGGTTTTAAAATAAGGTAGAAGAACTTGAACTTAGTTTTTTTTATTTTTATATGTAATCTGATGTTCCACATATTAAACTTTAAGTGTGTCTGACAGAAAATTTACTGCGGTTCGGAAATTTTTTTCAGTGGATCTTTATCACTGGATATCTGCCAGGCGTAAAGAACATCGAGAAGCTTCCAAGAGAAGTGTTCATAGTAAGAAGACCTTAGATGATTGTACACCTGTAAATCCAATGGAGATTACACTCCTAGCATTTTTCTGGCCTTTATTTCAGGTCGTTTTCTGCTTTTCACTGGAGCGAGTTTTAAACTAGAAAGCTTGTCTTATTACATTTCTTGTACTGTTCATCCTTTTGTCAGCGTTTATTTTGCAATCTGTTTAGATCTGTTAATATTGCATTTTAGAAAAGAAAACTGGCTCCTTCAGGATTTGATGCATTTCCAGTTGGTCCAGTTACTGTATATTTTTCGATGAAAATGGCAGAATGCAAGGTATTTTAACTCTCTTCCACTCCACTTTTGTGTTTTCTGTCCTGTACTTTTTGAACCTCTTTATATATCTAGACAACTTTTATTTGTTACAATTGACCTGAGTGGTTTTTAGTTACTTTCAAATTTTCTGTAATAAGTGCTAGTGCTAATTGTTTGATTGGTCAGAGTGTTTAGGTGGATTTGATTGAACCTCGTCTGGTAACTTCGTCGAGTCTCAACTATATCTCAGTAGCACGTGACCGTCTCTTCCACTTGGAGTCACTAAATGTTAAGGGGCTCGTACACGCTTATATCCATATGGATGAGATGAAATTGAGGCCTGTTAAGTGGGTGGTCTTGAGCTTTGCTTTTTTTTGTCATTTGTGATTTCCATTGTAAAAATTTGTTTTAGTCTCTTATTTTGTCTTTTGAAAAACCGTATGTGAGAGAATTTGTTTGCAGTTGCAACTTTTCATTTTTACACCCGGCTTCGACATTTGAGTTTGTTGGCTGTTCACAACTTTTACTTTTTACAGCGAACTTTTATTGTAATATATCAGGTTTGATGCTGAAGTTTCCCATTCAAGTAGTATACAGAATATACGATTGGCTTTGTCTTGGACATCGGTTTATCTATTCCGAGACATTTCTTTGATGGTCAGATCAGTACAAGGGTTAATTGGTCATTTAAACGCCAACTCAAAACTGGATAACTCCCCCAAACTGTCCTTGGACGCTGAAAATGTCGAGTTGTCCGTCAGTTGTGAAAGGTTTGCAGCTAATGGAGAATGGATCAGAAACGTTCTCAGTAAGCTCACGGATTATGAGCGGCAAGTTTTATTACAAAATATTACTGTTTTCTATACTTTCAAGAAAGATTTTTCTTCAACAAATTAAAAATTTACAAGCAATCAATTCTTTGCATTCTAGCAATTCTTTGCTTCATTACTTGTTTTTTGATATTTAAGTTGCTGAATTTGTTTCATACTTTCTCAATTCGTATTTTAGAGGGGTTGACAGATTTTCAAAATTTGCTTTGTGTAACTCCCGCGTGAAGTTTGAAGGAAATGTTAATCTAAAAGTTGTAATGCTGGAAATGGCATTTACGCAATTATTCCTTTCTACCACTTGTAAAAAATTAGAGGTAGGATGATTTTTTTCAAAAGGTGAAGCAGCATATGTGTAAATAAGATATTGCTGTAAAAATAATTTTTTAGATTAATCTTAAAGTCGTGCGGGAACAACAGAAACTGGGATTATTCTTGTTGCAAAACGTCATTGCGTCAGTTCAGCGCGCTAACTTAATATTATCCGAATTGATTTCTGGTCTGGACGCTACTCACATATTAAATTTCTCCGTCAACACTAATGCTCTTAGATTTGAACGGTTTGTTCATGAATTTGTTTATTGCTTTAAACACTCCTTTGGAGTTGGTCGTAGAGACTTGTTGCCAGAATCGTCATTTCTAGGTGCATTTTAAGGCAGGGAAGGCCGCCTGCGAGGTTTTTGATGGTCGACTCCAATTTTTTTTTATTTTCTACTTTTTTGTTTTTATTTGGGTACTTTGTTGTCATGTCTTCCTGTGGTTCTTGCTGACTCAAAAAGCTACGTGACGTTTTCAGCAAAAACCGTTCTTTGATTTCTAGTGGTTTCTGGTAATCGTAGTGAGAACCCGTAGTAGCTTCTATCTTGTATAAAACTGTATTAAAACTCTGCTATAGTTAGAAAAAATTATGGTGAAAAAGTTTTAAGATTTAAAGAGGTACTTTTTGTTTTGTCTTAATATTGCTTTAGACCTTGAAGACCTAATTGAAAGAGTTTGCTGAATGGTATTGTATACTTCAAAAGGTTTATTTAATTTCTTGGGCCTGTTGCTCAATATCATTAGTTTTTATATTTGGCGAATTTGTTTTATAGATTTTTGAGCTGGTGATATTTTATTTTATTATGAACAGTGCTCTTTTGGTACCGCGGTCTTGTTGCTGTCTAAAGTTTCATGTGGTTACGGTTTTTGGGAAAAGTTTTGTTATTTATGTGAAAGGATCATTTTGAAAAGTTCAAGTATGCGACTTCTTTATCAAAATTGTTATTTTCAGCGTTAGGGAAATAACTGGCTTGGTACACAGTTCTGCAGAAGTAAGCGTCGGTGATATAGAAGGTGATATACCTATGCATGCCGAGAGCTTACATGAAGTAGTGATGCGAAACGCTTCTAAGTTAAATGAACAGATCAATCGCTTGGAAGAGGATGATATTTCGGTGATGATTTCTTCATCCCACTTGACACTTTTAGCTTTTAGTATTTCACTGGTGACAGAAGGGATTTAAGATGTTTTTAATTTGGAAACTTGTTTAAGGAGAATTCGCGTCAACTTTTTGAAACTGATACCTTTTCTTGCTTCCAACTTTTTATTTGTAGCATCATAAAATATTTAATTGTTTTTTCTTACTGGCGACTTTCAACCCAAGTTGCGTTTCAGGCTCATGAATCACAAGATGTTAGTCCTAAAAAACGGAAGCAATTATTTATTATTCGGTTCGCTGTGAGTGTAAATAGTATTGAGCTAAATGCTTTGATACTACCGTCATTGAAAGCGAAGTATCGTCTAGAGCGAGCGACTAGCAGCGGAAAAACGTTTGTCAAATTGTTTTTATTGCATATTTCTATTTCATGTTACTATTACTTTCTAATTTTGCCTTTATAATATTTTTCAAAAGCACCTTTAACGTACTCATAAATAATTTAAAACGGAAGAGACTATGAAAAACTTTTAGAAGCTTAGTTTTGTAGTTAAGCTCTGTTATAATGCGCTTGAGTTCATGCGTAATTTTTTGATTTACAAAACAAGAAGAGATCATAGTGAACGGTACTGTGAAACTGAGTGAAATTTATGAAACAGTGAGAAAAAAGTAACCACTTAGTTTTTTTAAAATGGGTTTGCAGGGCAGTTCTTTATTTAGTAAAAGTTCTAGAGTAAAGTATTTGCGGGGTTGGAGATTATATTTCTAGCTACGCAATTTATGAGGGATTTGGTTTAAGGTTTTCACTGCTCCTGCTCAGATTTATCTATTCTATTTACTGGAACTCTCACTCTCTGAATTTCGTGCAGGAAGTTATTTGCTTCGTAGAACGCGAATAATAGGCAAGGGGAAATCTTTTATTGTAAAACAGTTTTCAGGGGATCTGATGCAGAGTTCTCTGCTGAACTCAAAAGCCACATTGTAAATTTTACTGTTGTTCCACATGCGGAGCATCGGCGAGCTTCACTTTCATCGGAATCTTTTTCCTTGCCACTGCCGTTTATTATTGCTAACGGAAAGTACAGAGTCCAGTCGAGTAACATAGTCACCACTGACGATGCAATAAACTTTTATGAAGGAGGATATTTTGACGTAGACTTAACAATCGGTAGAGACTTTGTCAGTTAAAAACTCATTATTTTCTGCTACATCATTAAAAGATATTTGAAGTTTTTGTTTTGTTACTTAATGTTGTTGGTCAAGAAAGCAATTCAAAAATTCAATTAACAGTTATGTCTAGAATATTTGTAGGTAAGATGGACTATGTCATTACAACGGATTTGTTGAATCAAGTTCTATTTGCCGAGCAGTGCTTTCGTTCCGAACTTTCTGTATTTTTGGACGGACTTACTGGTAGTCGCACTTCATGCAGCACAACTTCAGCGAAAGAGCTAAAGTCTGTTCGACCCTCAGTTCTGTATACTATCCAGGTATTTCGTTGATGAAAACTATTCTTTCATTATTAGGACAGTTTTGAATCATAAACAGCTCTCTTTGCTTAGATACATGGAGAATCAAGTCCTTGGATTCAATTGACCGCATGCACTCCAGCTGCAACGGCGGTTAGGCTGACGTGTGGGAACATTGCAGCAACACTAACAAACAGATGGGTGCGGAAAGATGTTAATGACAAGTCGGTACGCTTATCAAGAAAATTTTTTGATGTCAATAGGTTGGGTTGATTTTGGGAATGACGTTGCGTATAATTCCAAGGAATAAAAATCTTTAACTTTTATCGGATAAAAGAGATATATGATAAAATGTAAAAAATTATTTTTGTTTTAAGAAATTAAATCATTTAGTAATATCTCTTCACAGCTGATATCTGTGTAGGAATTCATCGTATTTGTAGGGAAGGTTGTATGGAAAAGCACTACTTGATGTTGGTGCCAAGTTAGGGCAGTTGGTCAAAACAGCAATGTTTGAAGAAATTGAAACTGAACTTCAGGAATACGCAACATTTACGACACAGGTTTGCTTTTTTTATAAAGTCCTTTGAACCCCTATCCCCCCCCCC